ACTGCCAAAGTTATCTGGAGGAAATTTATCAATCGGTGTGATATCATTGACATATATAGAATACATGCCTCCTTTTCCCTCTTTAAAATTTATGTGAGGTAGTAATCTTCATTTGGTTAATGATTTTTTTTTTTTCCCTACTGGTATGCATGGTTCATGAATGGCCTATGTTTGAATACAAGCCTTAGATCCTAGCACATTCCTTTGGTTAGTTATTTCTACAGTTGAGATTCTCAGCTTCACCACTAGATGGAGCTATTTGATATTTTGCCTTCCAAGAAAGAGAACTATTCAGTGAAGTCTTTTCTGAAAAAATTTAGAACATTTGCCCTGAAACAAGATTTAGGTTTAGAAGAAAAACAAAAATTACTTATATTGATACAAAATAATGAATAAAAGCTACTTAATATACTTAAATAGTGTTAATAAAAATAGATCAGGTATAGTGGCTCTCACGTGTATTTTGGGAGGCTAAAGTGGGAGGATTGCTTACGGTGGGGAGTTCAAAATTAGCCTCCCCCACCTTTCCTCCACCCCCAACTCTACAAAAAATAACGAGGTGAGGTGGTGGGCACCTGTAGTCCCAGCTAATCTGGAGGCTGAGGCAGGAGGATCATTTGAGCCCAAGGAGTTTGAGGTGGCAGTGAGCTAAGGTGGCACCATTGCACTCCAGCCAGGGTCACAGGGCAAGAAAATACAATACCTGTGTAAGCACTGGCTGGCTTAAGAAATAAAATACAATGAAATAAATCTTTGAAGCCAGCTGCACTCCCACTCTGATCTTCTCCCTCCCTTTCCCACTTGGATAAACCACCAGTATGAATTATAAATTACCAGCTACTTAAAAAATAGTTTTCCATTTTATGATGTGTACTCAAACTATACAATGTTTAATTTGTTCGAGTTTTGAAACTTACATGAAGGAATTCATAATGTATTTATTTTTCTGATTTTTTTCACTCTATTTATTCATGTTGATATGTACAGCTCTAATTCATTTTTTAAACTTGGCATCATGTTAGATAAGTAGACTAAAATTAATTTCTTCATTTTGCTGATTTTGAGTTGCTTTTTTATATTCAGCATTATGATTTTAAGATTTTCATATTCAATCATGCAGCTAAAATTTAGATAGATTAAATATCCTTGATATATAATTTGTATCTAATAATTTAATTCAATTTTGGAGTCAGATCCTTTACCTCTCTCTTTTCTTTCTTTCCTGCTAACTGGTGTTCATTTGGGCTTATTTCTCCCGTGTGTTTTGGTAATTAAAAAGAAAATGTGGGCCAGGCATGGTGGCTCACACCTGTAATCCTAACACTTTCAGAGGCTGAGGTAGGGGGATTGGTTGAGCTCCGGAGTTTGAGAGCAGCCTGGGCAACATAGTGAGATCCCATTTCTACAAAAAATAAAAAGAATTAGTCAGGTATAGTGGCATGTGCCTGCAGTCCTAGCTACTAGGGAAGCTAAGGCAGGAGGATGCTTGAGCCCAGGAATTTGAGGCTTCTGTGAGCTATGTTCAGACTACTGCACTCCAGCCTGGGTGGCACAGTGAGATTCTGTCTCTTTAAGAAAAAAAAAAGGGACTACATTTTTTTAGTGGAAATTATCTAAAAACAGTGTTTTGTTTTTGTTTTTAACATCTATGCTATTACATCTTAAATAATTCGCCACAAGGGGTTTTCCACTTATCTCATCTAGCAATCATTTCACCCCTGCTCTGTCTGGCTAATGGCCTTTGTCACTGTCTCTAGCAGGGGTAAAAGACTGTCCTTTTCTGGGGCAGGGAAATCCATGGTTTGTTGTCAGCTCCAATAATGAATATGTTGGAAAGCCTGGTGGCAAAGCCATTGCCATCTTTCACATTAAAAGAGTCAGTCTGTCCCTCCCCTACTGGTGATCACACCAGTCTGAACCAGGTTAGCGGTTCCAGTCAGCATATATGCCTTACAGAACAGGAGGAAACGGGTCACTAACTAGGCCAGGCCCAAATCAGTCTGGAAAATCTCAATCTTGGTGATGACCATAAAGATCTTTCTTATTTGGCCCCCTCAGACATAATTTGATAAGCAAAGTAACATTAGTCACATGTCAGATGGAAATTCTTGCTGGTCTTCTCAGTGTTGATGATGTGCCCCAAACCAGCAGAGTAGCTCATATCAGTGTGGGCTCAAGGGATCCTCCTTCCTCAGCCTCCCAAGTAGCTAAGAATACAGGCACCTTCTACCACCAATCTTTAAAAAACCACTTCTTTAAGAAGATCATCTTTACATCTTTCTCTACAAGGGTACACTTGCACCTGTTTCTTAGGGAAGTCATGAGAGGGAGCAGCTTGCTGGGGCCAGGCATTTTGTCTGAGCTGATGTTTTCTATTCTAGAGCTTGGGTTTTAGTCCATTTATATTTAATGTAATTAAAGGTGCACAATGTTGGGCAC